ACCTTGTTGTCTCGGATTCTCCAGCATCTGCAGTTCCTACTATCTCTGCTACTTTAAATCAGACTGCTTTGGGTTGTGAACTAAAGTAGTTGGGTGAAGAAACGAATTGTGAATTAAGCAGGAGCTCACTGCATCTTGAACACTGCAGTGGAAACACTTTGCAATGAATAATAATGTGGTGGTGGTGGCGACGTGTGTTAAGCCTGACAGTGATTCACAATAACAAAGACAAAGACAGAGGACGTTGGGGAAGCTCAACAAATTTTGAGGCATAGCCTCAAAATAAAGGGGACCAGATTTGAGACTGAGTTGAGGAGGAACTTCTTCACCCAAAAGGTTGTGAATCTGTGGAATTTTCTGCCCAGTGAAGCAGTTGAGGCCACCTTGTTGAATGTTTTTAAGCAAAAGACAGATAGATTTTTGAACAGTAAAGGAATTAAGGGTTATGGTGAGGGAGCGGGTAAGTGGAACTGAGTCCAGGAGGAGATGAATGGCAAAGCAGGCTTGAGGGGCCAGTGGACCTACTCCTGCTTCTATCTCTTATGTACTAAACTTCTTAAAGCGGGCAGCGATCTGTGGAGAGAGAGAATCAGAGTTCATGTTTTACATGACTCTTCTTCAGAAAAGTCTGAGGAAGGGTCACATGAATCAGAAAGGTTTAGAGGGAAACGTACTAAATGCTGGAAAATGGGACTAGATCAAGTTTAGGAAACCTGGTCAATGCCGATGAGTTGAACCATTTTCATGCTGCATAACTCTAAGAGTTACTGGTCTTGAAATATTAACTCTGTTTCTCTCTCCACATATACTGCCAGACCCACTGAGTTTCCCCAATGTTCTCTGTTTTTAAAACATAACTATGATATGGCCAGGAAGGGAAAGGAATTGGGGGTCCTCTAATCAAAATGCAGGGCAGTGCTCATGCCCTGAAATTGCTGAATCCCATATTGAGTGCCAGAGGCTGTAAAGTACCAAAGTGGAAGAAGAGAGATAACAAGGTGTAGAGCTGGATGAACACAGCAGGCTAAGCAGCATCAGAGGAGCAGGAAAGCTGACATTTTGGGTCTGGACCCTTCTTCAGAAATGGCATTTTTTGGTCAGTAAATCGAAAAGATAAGAAGCTTAATGATTGGATTGGTAATCTTACTCTCATATGCACAGCGTTATGGGAAGATGGTGGCATAGCAGTAACATCGCTTGAATAGTGACCCAGAAATCCAGGCTAACTCTCTTGGGATGTCAGTCCAAATTACACCATTGACAGCTGGTGACATTTAAATTTGATGAACAAATATGGAACATAAAACTCAACTCAGCAATGTTACAGTGAAACCATTGTCAATTATCACAAAACTCATCTGGTTCACTAATGTCCGCCATCCTCACCTGGTCTGGATAATTTTATTACTTAAACTAACACTGCAAGCTCACAAAGCCAACCCTCCAAATCGCCGACGGTTAATTAATGATTCAGTGCTCTGTGGTCACACATAAAAATCAACTAACTGGTTTATTTTACAATTGTTAAGTAAACAAAAGTAGTGCAATATTTATAGTAAGTCTCAAATTCAACATCACATCTTATAACAAATAAAATAATAATCCACATTATTCAGATGCTCCATAAAGTATTGTGTAAAAAATAAACTAATTTCTAAAGATGTGAAAATGCTTAGAATGAAACCTTTTTTGTGGTTTATTTTAAAAGAGAAAAATAAAAAAAAGAGGTTATGGAAAATTCACTGTGAACATTAAATTTTTTTCTTAAACAACGCTTCCTTGAGTTCGCACGACTGGCGAGAACAGCTAGCTTTACTGTAGATCCTGTTGCTGTTTGAACTGTGACTGGATGGACAGTGCCTTGATATTGGAAGTAACTGGGGTGGTGACGACTGTGTCTAGCTGATTGTTCCCATTCCTGAAAAGCAAAGATTCCTATTGCATTCAGGGTGAGACCTATCCGCTGTTTGGAGAGAGTGACTGAAAGGACTTTTCAATTCTGTATTTTCTGAGCAAGCTTTGTCTGAAGGACCCACAGAGTCAACTGTGCATGATTAATGACTTGGCCGCACAAACAAGAACATCAGAGGCACAGACTTTGTGACACTATGTTTTATCTATTCTCTTTCAAGAATAACCCATGGGCCAAAGCACTTTTCTTTCAGACAGTCAACCTCTGCAGAGAAATGTGTCTTTTTTTTCTCTTCCTTTCATGAGAAGCTTGTATTTTGGGGCTATTGAAAGGGATACGTACTTCTATATTACTGACTCAGTATGGTAATCAATTGTTGCATCTTGATGAATAGCTGTGGGGGAAATCAGGTAGTTCAGTTGGCTGTTTAAGTGACGCAAACAGCTTGTGTTCAGTTCCCGTGCTGGCTGAGGTTACCATGAAGTACTCTCCTTTTCAACCTTCCCCCTCACTTGAGGCACGATGACCCTCAGGTTAAACCACCTTCTGTCCTCTCTCTAAGACCTGGTACCAACCATACTGAATAAGTTTGGTTTTGATAGTATAACCAAAAATTGTATTTTTCCAACATTATGATTGGTTGACAGATATATTTAATTGTCCATTTTTGTAACTTTTTATTTTATGCTGTGACCCAGAATTGTGAGACGATAGCAAGTGCACTCCTCTGTCTCAATTGCTGCCACACTGTCGCAGTTACTACAACAAATATTAATCTTATTGGCTCATAATTTGAATTCGATTTTCAGCAGCTCAATGGCAAGGAGCAAAAACCAGAAGTTGCTGGAAAAGCTCAGCAGGTCTGGCAGCATATGTGGAGAAAAAAAGAAATCAGAGTTAATGTTTCGGGTCCGGTGACCCTTCCTCAGAACAGGTTACTGGACTCGAAACGTTAACTCTGATTTATTCCCCCCACAGATGCTGCCAGACCTGCTGAGCTTTTCCAGCAACTTCTGGTTTTGCTCTTGATTTACACCATCCGCAGTTCTTTCAGGTTTTATTCTTTGATAAGGAGGCCCTGCTTATGGTCCACCAGCAGATCATCTACCAGAAACTGGCCAAATCCACTGTGTTCGCTTGGCTTTTTGATTATTCAAAAAAAAAATGAAGCCATTAGTTTGATCTCCAGCAATTCCACTCGCATTGGGTCAAGAAAGCTGCCAATTCAACTAGACACCATTCCTTTGCTTTTTGGGTTCCCTCTAAACCATTTCCCATTGCCTACCATTTATAGTAGGAATCTTTCTATTCAATGAGCCTTAAAGTCCTCAAGGAGTTTAATTTCTGTTTCACTAAGAAGCAATTGGCTCATCTGCCTCTAATAGACATTTCACAGTCACCCCCTGCTGGTGAAGATCACCCCTTGAATTCTAGGCTTAACAGAAGCAGTATGACATTAGAAAACCATCATTAAAAATCTTCAGAGGACTGGAAATTCAAGTTCCAAAACTGAAACTCCACCCACTTTTAAAACATACTTGTTATCTGTCCAGTTAGAGATTCTAAGAATGTAACTACAGCTGACATTTGACTAACAAATTCAACTCTTGCCATTTGTCCTTCCTCCACCCTTGAACAAAGGCTTAATTCTGACCTGGTCCCATTCTCCTATCTCCTTTCTGATTTCTTTCCGCAGCCAACACCAAAACACAGTGAATTGTCCACCTTGTTAAATTGTGGAAAGCAGAAACAGAGACACAGAGAGTGGGGGCACAATTGTGGGGCAATGGAGTGATGGCTCAAGATGGGAAAGCATCATTCACATGCTTCTACCGTGGTTCTTTTTCTGTGCTTCATATCATGCCTGAATTGGGCTGGAAGCCACATCAGAGACATCAGGAACATCAACTGGAAGGCAAGAAGGGGAGGTTTTCTCGAATGTATTCCTCAACACTGCACTATACTCTACAGTGTCAAGTCAGGTATAGGGAAGAACAATCATGATGGCAACACTTTGGTGGAACACGAAGGTCATTTTCATCAGAGATGGTTCCAGAATCAAATTCATTTAAACAGTCAACTTGAAGAGGCAGAGTTCTGAAATCTGATTGGCTGGTTGAATTTCTACAATGTCATTGGACAAAAGCAAATGCTAGCAGGATTACTGGTCGACCTAGAGACTGGCAAACAACAGGAACGTAGTGAAAGCGCGGACACAATTGAAAATTCAGGGAGCATGAGATCAAATGCCCGTTAGAAGTTAAACCTTTCGGATAATGCTGCAAAGGAACGGTTGTCTTTGCTGTCAGAGATAGTAGGAACTGCAGATGCTGGAGAATCCGAGACAACAAGGTGCAGGGCTGGATGAACACAGCAGGCCAAGCAGCATCATAGGAGCAGAGAGGCTGACGTTTCGGGCCTCGACCCTTCTTTGCTGTGCTCGGTAAGACAGGAGGAGATTGGAACAAAATATGCACAGGATATTATTAGTTCCAATTCCACCTCCTCACTATACTGCCACCGGTAAGCTATATATCACAAACGGTATGACGACAGTTTGAAGATTTGATCTTTAAACTTTGTTCCATTCACTTGTCCCCGGATTTGTATCATTTCAGAATCTTTGAAAAGGAGCATTGTCTACGGGAAGAATTTTATTGTTAAATGAGAAGTTAATGTTCAACACATTGAGGATTTGGCTTCTTTTGTAGAGTATTCAACAATTGTTAAGTCATTGTTTGCTCTTTAAATCATGGATATTAAGACATTTGTTGGCAAGTACACAGTTCTCGGAAACAGAAGGACTGGGCAATTTTCCATCTTGTAGAAGTGAGTCGCAATTGTCACACACTAACCTCCTGCTCTCCCTCTCGGACCTCTGCGTTTTTCTTTTCGTGGGAAGGGCAACCCTGAGCTGCTTCCAGAATCGGCTCCTGGGATCTTGCGACCTCTCCCCTTCCCACTTGATGGTTGCCATCACCGCCTTCAGCCTCCTCAGCTCTGCCACGTGGCGGACTTTCTTCACTGGGATGAACTCCACCAGTATAACTCGGATCTGCCCAGTGCTGGCCATGCGCTCAGTGCCAGCCTTCAACTCTAAGAGAGCCTGTGTCCCATTCACCAGGTAATTTGGGCTCAGCACCACCAACAGCCTCCTGCTTTTCCAAATACAAGCCAACGTCTCGTCTGTAATGACTGAAATACAAAAAAGATGGCGTGTCAGGACAGAAAAATGAATAATAATAGTCAGTCAACATTCACAACAAACACTGCCAGCTGAACACAGCAGGCCAAGCAGCAGGGGAGCAGGAAGGCTGACGTTTCGGGCCTAGACCCCCAGCTCTACACCTTGTTATCTCAGATTCTCCAGCATCTGCAGTTCCTACTATCTCTGCCAGCTGAACACTACACTTCTGTTATATGGTGTTAAACAGTCTGAAGAGGCTGTTCAGCCCATCGAATCTAAGTCAAGCTATCTACACTTATCCTAATTCCTAGCACTCGGTCCAGTGTTTCAATGTTAATGACAGTGTTATCTGTAGCTTATACTAAACCACCTTGAACTGTCTGCATGATTCTGGTCTCCATAGTGTAAAAGGAAGTTTGGAAAGTTAAGTGAATGGTGGAATGGCCTGGAGGGACTGAATGGCCTATGCCCACTCCTATTTTCCTGTGCTCCAGGACAGCCTAGTTGTGATTGAAGAGCAGATGATATTAATTGAACCAATTCCATTTTGATTTAATCCCCTTCCTCTTTCCCTACCCTTCACTCTTGTTAATGCTGCCCTGCCCTGGTGGGTACACTGTTTTACTTACTGCTCTCTCTACCTGTTCTGCCATCTTCAATGATCTGTGCACATGTACACCCAGCCGCCTCCACTCTTTCATAAATGTTCTTCCGACTAAAGTGCCTCACTTCACGTTCCTCTGCATTGAGCTCCACCTGCCATGCACCTGGCCAAACACCAACTTTCCAATGACCTTCTGGAATTCCAAACTGTCCTCCTCACAGTTTACAATTCTTCCAAGTTTTGTGTAATCTGTAATCTTTGAAATCATCCCTTGCACACCAAGATCTGGATCATCTATACAATCAGGAAAAACAAGGGTTCCAAAAACTGCCACCTGGGGAACTTGACTAGTCTCCAGCCAAAAATATCTATCACTCTGTTTCCTATTACTCAACCAATTCTGTATCCACTTGAAGAGCAGATCATAGAATCCCTACAGCGTGGAAACAGGCCCTTCAGCCCAATAAGTCCACACTGACCCTGAGCGTCCCACCCAGACGCATCCCCGTTATAACCCACCTAATCTACACATCCCTGAACACTAGGGGCAATTTAGCATGGCCAATCCACCGAGTCTGCACATCTTTGGACTGTGGGAGGAAACCGGAGCACCCGGAGGAAACCCACGCAGACACGGGGAGAATGTGCAAACTCCACACAGACAGACACAGTCTCCTGAGGCAGCAGTGCTAACCACTGAGCCACCGTGCCGCAAACATTGTCAAAGTTTGGTGTGTTGGAATTTAAGTCATATCTGTCTTTGTACAGTTTAAACCTTTTTTGACAATAATCTTAGCATTTTTAGATAATAAAACAACTGAGGGTGCTGGAGATCTGAAACCAAAAACAGAAACTGCCGGCAAAACTCAGCAGGTCTGGCAGCATCCGATGGGAATCATAGAATCAAAACAGGCCCTTCGGCCCAACAAGTCCACACTGAACCTCACAGCATCCCACCGAGACCCATCCCCCTATAACCCACCTAATCTACACATCCCTATGGGCAATTTAGCATGGCCAATCCACCTAACCTGCACATCTTTGGACTGTGGGATGAAACCGGAGCACCCGGAGGAAACACACGCAGACACAGGCAGAATGTGCAAACTCCACACAGACAGTTGCCCGAGGCTGGAATTGAACCCGGGTCCCTGGCGCTGTGAGGCAGCGGTGCTAACCACTGAGACATCGCGCCGCCCTGAAGAAAGCAGAGTTGAGTTGAGTCACCAGACACGAAACATTAACTCGGTATCTTCGCGTAGATGCTGTATGACCTGATGAGTTTCTCCAGCAAATCTGCTTTCATTTCACATCTTTGCATATTTGTTGGAGTAAGTTTTATTTGAAATGAACTCATTTTTCTTTGCCGACCAAAAGATACCTGTCTATGAATTATTACTTGTATCAAAATTGATACAGACCGAGACTCTCACAATCGGTTAAACTTCCCATTTGTTATGGCCAGTGGAGGAGTTTTATGAAAAAAAAAGTCAATCTGTGCAGATGTCCCCATCTTGACCGGAATTGGAAGAATAAACCGATGTGAAAAGATGGACTTGCAACTGTTCCCTCATTTACCAGCTGAATAGTTACCAGAAAGCCACAAAAACAGCTATAAGGAAAAGGAAGATAGAACATGAGAAAAAACTAGCACAGAATATAAAGACAGATAGGAAAAGTTTCTATAAATATATAAAACGAAAAAGAGTGGCTAAAGTAAACGTTGGCCCTTTAGAGAATGAGAAGGGGAATTTAGTTATGGGATATGATGAAATGGCCGAGGCATCGAACAGGTATTTTGTATCGGTCTTCACAGTGGAGGACCCTAATAACATGCCAGTAATAGACAAAGAGACGAAGGTAGGTGAGGACCTGGAAACAATCATTATTACGGAAGAGGTAGTGTTGGGCAAGCTAATGGAGCTAAGGATTGATAAGTCTCCTGGCCCTGATGGAATGCATCCCAGGGTACTAAAAGAGATGGCGGGAGAAATAGCAGGTGCACTGGCGGTAATTTTCCAAAATTCGTTGGACTCTGGGGCAGTCCCAGCAGATTGGAAAACAGCAAATGTGACGCCACTGTTTAAAAAGGGAAGTAGACAAAAGATGGGGCATTATAGACCAGTTAGCTTAACCTCTGTAGTGGGGAAGATGCTTGAGTCTATTATCAAGGAAGAAATAGCAAGGCATCTTGATAGAGATTGTCCCGTTGGGCAGATGCAGCATGGGTTCATGAAGGGCAGGTCAAGCTTGACAAATCTTTTGGAATTCTATGAAGACATTACGAGCGAGGTGGACAATGGGGACCCAGTGGATGTGGTGTACCTAGACTTCCAAAAGGTCTTTGACAAGGTGCCGCACAAGAGGCTACTGCATAAGATAAAGATGCATGGCATTAAGGGTAAGGCATTAGCATGGATAGAGGATTGGTTGACGAACAGGAAGCAAAGAGTGGGGATAAATGAGTGCTATTCTAGCTGGCAGTCAGTGACTAGTGGTGTGCCTCAGGGATCGGTGTTGGGACCGCAATTATTTACAATTTATATAGATGATTTGGAGCTGGGGACCACGTGTAGGGTGTCAAAGTTTGCAGATGACACTAAGATGAGTGGCAAAGCAAAGTGTGCAGAGGACTGTGAAACTTTGCAGAGGAACATAGATACATTGAGTGAGTGGGCAAAGGTCTGGCAGATGGAATACAATGTAAATAAATGTGAAGTCATACATTTTGGTAGGAGTAATAGTGAAAAGGGTTATTACTTGAATGGTAAAAAGTTGCAGCATGCTGCTATGCAGAGGGACCTGGGTGTCCTTGTGCATGAATCACAGAAGGTAGGTCTGCAGGTACAACAAGTAATTAGAAAGGCAAATGGAATTTTGTCCTTCATTGCTAAAGGGATTGAAATTAAAAGCAGAGAGGTTATGTTGCAGCTGTACAAGGTGCTGGTGAGGCCACACCTGGAGTACTGTGTGCAGTTTTGGTCTCCTTACTTGAGAAAGGATGTATTGGCACTGGAGGGGGTGCAAAGGAGGTTCACTAGGTTGATTCCGGAGTTGAGGGGGTTGGCTTATGAGGAGAGACTAAGTAGATTGGGATTATATTCATTGGAATTCAGAAGATTGAGGAGGGATCTTATAGAAACATATAAAATTATGAAGGGAATAGATAAGATAGAAATAGAGAGGATGTTTCCACTGGCAGGTGAAGCTAGGACAAGAGGTCATAGCCTCAAGATTAGAGGGAGCAGATTTAGGACTGAACTGAGAAGGAATTTCTTCACCCAGAGGGTTGTTAATCTATGGAATTCCTTGCCCAGTGAAGTAGTTGACGCTACTTCAGTAAACGCTTTTTAAAAAAAGGTAGATTTTTTTTGAACAATAAAGGAATTAAGGGATACGGTGAGAACGCGGGTAAGTGGATCCGAGTCCACGAAAGGATCAGCCATGATCTTATTGAATGGCGGAGCAGGCTCAAAGGGCCAGACGGCCTACTCCTGCTCCTAGTTCTTATGTTCTAATGTTGGAAGCTGATGTTTACACTGAACGGATATAGTTACAGCCCAGGTGAGTAAAGCAACACAGACAAGAAAATAATTGTGTTTGAGCGTGTGAATGGTTTAAGCTGTGGATCTAAGGGGAGGGGGAAAAGGAAGAAGCAATCCCTGAAAGGAAAGTTGAGCTTCAGTCGGAGAAACTGCAACCTTCAGTTTGCTCTCTGTTGTCCTACCTTACCCCGTGTGATTGGCAGAAAGAGGAGATCACAATTAGATGGTAACACACCAGGTGGTTAGAGAAGGGAGACTGACATTCGCACTGGATCTTTTGTATCATGATCAGAAGCTGCCAAGCACATCCACTGGATTTTCCTGGGTGGAAGTCAACATGTTTGGTATGTTTGTCTTTATTGGTCAGAGCATTGAGTGTAGTAGCTGGAATGTCATGTTGCAGCTGTACAGGACATTAGTTAGGCCACTATTGGACTACTGCATTCAGTTCTGGTCTCCCTGCCATAGGACAGACGTTTTCCAACTTGAAAGGGTTCAGAAAAGATTTACAAGGATGTTGCCGGGGTTGGAGGATTTTAACCATAGGGAGAGGCTGAATAGACTGGGGCTATTTTCCCTGAAACATTGGAGGCTGAGGGATGACCTTAGAGGTTTATAAAATCATGTGGGGCATGGATAAGGTAAATAGCCACGGTCTTTTTCCCAGGGTAGGGAGAGTCCAAAAATAGAACACATACATTTAAGGTGAGATAGCAAGTGAGGGGCAACTTTTTCATGGAGGGTGATGCGTGCATGGAAAGAGCTACTAGAGGATGTGGAGGAAGCTGGTACATTTACAGCATTTAAAAGGCAATTGGATAGGTACAGGGTTTAAAGGGATATGGGTTAAATGCTGGCAGATAAGACTAGATCAGTTTAGGATATCTGGTCAGCATGGATGAGTTGGACCGAAGGGTCTGTTCCTGTGTTGTACAACTCTTATGACTGTATGACCCTTGAGAGACAGAGACTAGAGGGAAAAGGCTAGGGGAATACAGGAGCTCTAGAAGAAATACCAGAAGGTGACCTTGAAAGACGCTATACATACTTCCACCAGGCAAACTATCCCGGTCATAGATACAGACTTTGTATCCGTATTCATTTTCCAGAACAGATTGCAGAGTGGTGAGGACAAACTCCTCCTCTTTGGAATTCCTTGCGTACGACATGTAGACATCAAACTCCTTCCCATCTGTAAAATTAGAGGGAAAAGGAAGCAGAGAGAAAAGCTTTAATGTGAATGCCCAGACCCAGACCCAATACACAGTGGACTGGTTAGGTTATTGAATCTAGTGATCCACAGTCACTGAGCATTAATCCAGTGGTTCTTGTTATAAGAACCCTCTGATGTTTTAATGCTGCAAAATGATTAAGCTAGGGACTACAGCAGCCTGTATAGTTCTGAAGAAGTCATACCAGACTCGAAATGTTAATTCTGTTACTCTAGCACTTTGCGACTTCAGATTTCCAGCATCCACAGTATTTTGCCTTTATTATTGTACAGATGTTAGACAGTAGGTGAGTAGGGGGCACCAGGACAGACATCAACAGCCCTGTACTAGGAAGAGGAAAGAGCGAGTTAGGATCTTGCTCTCTCGACATACTAGTTACAGTGCCCACACTTGGGGACAGGCTCTGGGTCACTATGGTCCGCAGTGTTAGCAGGAACTGCAGATGCTGGAGAATCCGAGACAACAAGGTGTGGAGCTGGATGAACACAGCAGGCCAAGCAGCATCATAGGAGCAGAAAGGCTGACGTTTCGGGACTAGACCCTTCTTCAGAAATGGGAGAGGGGAAGGGGTTCTGAAATAAATAGGGAGAGAGGGGGAGGCGGATAGAAGATGGATAGAGGAGAAGATAGGTGGAGAGGAAACAGACAGGTCAAAGAGGCGGGGATGGAGCCAGTAAAGGTGAGTGTAGGTGGGGAGTTAGGGAGGGGATAGGTCAGTCCAGGGAGGACGGACAGGTCAAGGGGGCGGG